TACCTTCTACAGTAATAGGGAGGGTAGGGGAAGAGAAGGTTTAGGGAACAAGATAATGAATTCTGCTTTGGACATATTGAGTTTAAGCTGTCTGCTAGACATCCTGTTTGAGAGGTCTGAAAAGCAGTTGGAGATATGAGATTTGAAATCTGCAGAAAGATTGAGGCAGTAAACAGATAGATTTGAGAAACTTCAGCATAAAGATGGTAATTAAATCCATGGGAGCTGATAAAATCACCAAGTAAAACTTATAGTCTATTGTTGAAGTTACAAACACACATATAAATATATACAGATGAATAAACATGTGCACATTGTCGACCTGAAAGTTGGTTAAAGAGACAACATGCTAGGTGATAAGCAAATTCATATTGTTTTATTCCCTTAAGTTAGCGCATGTATATGGAGTCAGATCTTTGACTCTGACTGACTCAAGCAATTTTAGGAGGACATTTAAACCCTGACTCATGATGTCTGTGTTACTTAAAAAAAAAAAAAATACAGCCTCCATATGTTTTTTAACATATAGCATGGGAAATGAAGTTTCTTAGTTGAAAAGGTTGTAAATACAATAAAATAAGAGAATGTCAAAGTGTCAATTCAAATTATATATCCAGGATATCTGTGTTTCCCCTATACAACATATGTCCATAGGATACCAAGATAAGAAAAGTCCCACTATTCAAGAGAGTGTCTGATCCCAGGTATCCTGTCCTTAGTGATCACAAACAGGAAGAATGCTGGTCAGTTTCATCTGGTCCTGCAGTTGCTGACATAGGAAGAAGCATTTTTAGTTCACTCAGAAAAGATTAGTTCATGTATTTGGCCCTTATTGGGGATCAATTGATCTTAAATGATTATCAACATATAAATGTATACGTGTATAGAAATAAACACAAAATGATTTTTGTGAGTGAGGCACTAGCATCCGACAGGGTAGCCAGTGGGGGAAGGAGGACCATACAAAGTGACTTACTCAAATCATATTAACAAGCAATCTAAAGCTACAATGAAAATCTCCTAATTTCCAGCCCAATGCTCTTTCCCAAAGAGGGTCAAAAATGATGTGCCCCAACATTGAGAAGAATAGATCATATTACCCTGGTAGCAAAAGGATGGAATTTATGGCATTGTGTGGTAATTATAAACTTTATACTGTTTGATGTCATTATTTGATATATAAATGATAGTACTCCAGTATGGAGGAGCTAGTCTAAAATGGTCCTAATACCCATGGAAACCTAGGCAAAACAGACAGTTTGTGCCTTTCCACCGTTAACTCTGTGTCAAATGGATAAGATTTGCAACTTTTTGATGGAATGAATTCTTGACTTGCTCCAGGGGCCTTAAGTCAATCTCCTACTGTTGCCTTAGTTAAAATTTGATCCTCCTACCAATTTATGGTCCCAATAAAGAAACTTCTCCTACCTGAGCCTCACCTAAACTTGATATCAGTAAGTGACCCAAAGAACTTTCCTACTATATCTGAGACTCCTCTTCCTGCATCAGGCACCAGTTACCTGTTCTCAATCAAATCCATTCTTAGGGTGTATAATCTTGCCGCCTGAACCACAACCTGGACTGTTTCCTTCCCAGCATTTCTCCCTCACTCTCAGGCTGTGGAAAGTTTCTTGCATGTGGGGATTAGTCTCTATTGATTATATTGATATTGTATTTTTTTGTTTTGTTTTGCCTGGTTATGGTGTTGCATAATAAAAAAGCTTGAGATTATATCATCTTCCTGAGTACCAGTTTTCTAGAAATCCTGCATCCAGGAATTTGCTTTAACTGGAGCCATGAGGGCAAACATTGACAAGCTGTTGATAAAGCACTATACCCAAACTGAATATGCTGTGATTATTCTGATGTCTTCTTTCAGATGACACTTTCACCCTGCTGAATGAGGCTGGCCTCAGTTTTCATGAAGCTCTTCTGGATTTTTTGGACATAGACAACAGAGATAGAGCAACAGTGAGCTGTGGAGTCTTGGAAGAGGATAAACCACTGTCCAACAAGAGAATATACACAATTAAGAAAGAGAAAAGAGCCTTTCCATTAATTAACAAGCTGGACTGGAGAATGAGGCAAGAGGGCTATTGAGATCACACTGATCCCAAGCAATCCTGGACTTCAGAGACCATGGAAACCATGGTGGTGGGGGTGATCCTGACTTTATTTGCTATTATATTGGTGACTTTTTGTATCCTATGCTGCTCCAGCTACAACAAATCCCCCTGGAATCAGCCCCAAGACAGGATCCCAAATTTTACTTTGGCCACTTTCCACAAGGAAGCTTCATTTGTAAGACCTACTGGTCAGCATTCTAATTCCCATTCGTCCCCCAACCAAAGGAATTTATTCTCCTTTATGTGAAGTCTTATCCAGGGTTATTCAGAACTCATCTATATCCCTTCTGATGTCTATGGAGTAGCCACTTGTCACAAAGGAGGAGACCCTGGAGCTGAAAACATAGTCCCTTCTTTGGAGGACGTTATGGAATTGTCAGATAGATAGTGCTCAGCTAGACCTCTCCATTAACAACAACAATGTCCTGTATGTTGTTGAAGTTTCAAACACTGACACTTCTTCCCTATTATTACAAGATGAAGTGATAATGGAAGCCAAATAAGAAAATTTACCTACTCTCCAAAAAGAGATGAATACACTCAATCCAATTCTACATTTATTAAATGTTTATTCACTTGTGGAAAAACCCTAGTGGATCATACCTTGCTTCAAAATATAGTAAGAAGACAAAAGATTCTGACCTTTTAAAATCAAAGCAGTTCCTAGGGAGTGTGCTCTGAAAACCAATCAAGGTGGGCCACCTAAGCTTTGTTAACGTGACGGAATCACCAGGCTTTATGGCCCCTCCCTGTCCTTTGAAAGAAGTTATGATAGAGGAAATGCATTCCGGACTTGGGGGAAAAAACTTTTGCAAATACATACAGTCAGGAGATGTATTGTATTCAGGAAAGAGCTAGCAGGCCAGTTTCAGGGGGAATGGAGACTGTATCACAAGTGACTGGGAAGGTGGGTGGAAGGCAGATGGAGGAAGGGTTTAAACAACAAGTTTAGGATTTCACATTTTTTCCTAGAGTCAATAGAGAGTCACTGAAGGATTTTGAATCTGGGGCATGACATGGTTAGATTGGTGTTTAACATTTGGCAGCTGTATAATGGAGAGGAGTATGGAGCAGGAGTTCTTAACCTGAACCATGAGCTTGTTTTAAAAAACATTTTTATAACTTCATTTCAATGCAGTTGGGAATGTTTTTTGCTTTAAATGTGATTTTTAATTTATTTTCCTTATGTTGAAACATTTTTGCATTCCTGGAATAAATCCAACTTTGAATGATGGATAGTCTTTTAAAAATATTTTGTATTTTTATTAGGATTTTATTTAAATTTTTTTTTTCATCAAAATTCATTAGTAGTAACAATCTTTAGTTCTCTTTTTTTCTGTTTTATATTTTTCTGGCTAAAATATCAATTTCTAGTGGTCTCCTATTAGGGGCTTGGTATACTGTTTTCCTTCTCAATTTTTGAGAATAATATGTGTAGCATTGATATTATTTGCTCTTTAAACATTTGATAAGTTTCACCTATAAATGTGTCATACCAAATTTTTTTTTCTCTTTCATACCTTTGTGGCTCTTTTATTCCTATTTTCTTTGTATTGTTTCACGTTCAGTTGATCTGAATATTTTATGGGTAATTTTCCATTTCTTTCAAGCCCACAGGTTTGTTAAATAAATTTAATGTATTTTGCAACTCTTAACATTACATATATGCTAGTTATTATTATTATTAATTATTGTTGGGTGACTCAGGCCCATTAATCCATTAACATATAAATGTTTATATAAAGAGGAAGAAACTTTAGAAGACCAAAAAGGAAGAACTAGGGAACAGCTTGGTGGATTACTGGATAGAGCACTGGCTCAGGAGTGCCCAAGTTCAAATCTGGCCTCAGACACTTACTTGCTGTGTGACCTTGGGCAAGTCTTTTAACCCCAATTACCTCAATAAACAAACAAACAGAAAAACCCTAATAACTACAAGAGGAAGCATAATAAGAATTAAGGCAAAAAAGTGGCTACAAGTTACTTCTTCTTTCCATTTGCTATTACTGGAACCCAGGTAATTTTCCTGGGCAGCTGAGGCCCCCAGAGAGGAAGATACATTTCTATGTACTATGACCCTCCTACCTCCCTTGCCCTGATATTAATATTGCCCTCACAACACATTCTCTGCCAAAGGCCAGCAGAAATGCCTGGTGCAGCCTCCTCAGAGGCAGAGTTAAGAGTGGTGGAGGAGTGAGAGAGTAGCAGGAAGAAATAGAGGGACAAGGAAGGTACAGGCCAAGTAATTTCTCATAGAGGCAGCTAGGAGGCTGCCTGATTAGATATTAATACACTCCTCATTGCTTGCCCTGTTTCCTACATAAAAGGAGAGGCCTCCCCTCTTCTGGGACTTTATTGATAATTTTCAATTGTTTCATCTTCACAGGGAAGAAGGAAATAGAAAAACGATAAGGGGTAATACAAATATAAACAAGATATTATTTTGATGCCCATCTTCCCAGCCTTTTCTCTGTCCAAGCTATAAAATGCTCAAAATGCTAATAGAAGCAGTTCCAGACAAAGTAGGACTGTGGAAGGCTCACTAGCACTTGGAGAAGGATTACATTGTTTTTAAACCCTAGAAAATAAATATGGTCTCTCTTCATTCCACCAAGTATGAGTCTCTATTTTGGGGAACTTTTATGTTCCCCAATGCCCTACTCCATCAAAGTACCTTCAGGGGATTCTGCTTCCTTCAGTACAATAGAAGTTAGAAGACAGCACATTCCTTCTGGGAGGAAATAGATCATCAGCCAACTTTGGCAGAAACAGCCAGTTTTATTGAAATCTGGGAAGGAGGGAGTCTGTGGGTTACTGTTGGTTTCATTAGGATTGGCACTAGGCTGTGGTTTCATAGGTATAAGGAATTTCCAAATGAGGAAACTTCCTCCACCCACGTGTATCAATAGCTTGTCTGAAATTTCGAGTTTCCTAGAACACTGAGAAGTGATTCTGTTGGGGATGACAAGCTAGCGCACGTTAGAGGCGGGATTTAAATCCACCTTTTCAGGCTGCAAAGCCAGCAGAGCTCTTCACGGGTTGCAGGATGAGAAAAAAGGAAGGGTGAAATTTCCAGCTCAAAAATGGGAGGTGCCCTGAATTCTCAGAAGGGGTGGGACAAAGGCTGCCTCAGGGCCTCTAATGTGGCAAAACTAAAAAACCCCCTCTCATATGTGGCTGAAGTTTTAAAACAGCTGTCTCTCAGCCAAAGGAAGGCACACTGGAACCAAGAGCGCCTCCTAGTCCCTCTTACACCTTGCTTTTTCCAAGCCGTCTTTTGCTGTTCGCCAGACTGAGAGGCCAGTGTCCAGCTACCTTTCGTGGAGATCCAGCCCTTCTCTCTGACTAGGGACGCTGCTGGTAGCCGCCAGAAAATCGAAGAGCGAAAAGCAGGCTGGAGACCCGTGGAACAGGACACTTCTCAGCTCAGAGTCAACCAAAGTGAGCAAACAAAACCCAGCAGGGATGGCTGCTGGGATAAAGAATGTCTTTACCTAGCAATGATTCTGTTCCCATTTGTGGGATGCATGGACTCATAGATTCAGAATTTGGGAGTTGAGAGGGATCTTAGAGATCATATAATCTGATTCCTGAGCCTTACAAATAAGACAACTAGGGCCTGGGTAGGAGAATATGTTTTCTTTTTCAATTAGCTAAAAGGGTTTTACTGCATCTGTGTGAGAATATTTACCATCTGTATAAAATGACAGCAAGATTAGAGGAGAAAATGCTTGAGTATGGGTTAGAAGAAATGAAGGCCTGTAGGCTGTTTATCCCCCATTCTGGGCCTCAAGTGTGGCCCCAGTGAAAGCACATATGAAGTGTGTTATAGTTTTTTTAAAAACTAAAAATATGAAGCCATTTCCTACCTGATTAATCTTAGCTCTCCAGATACCCATGAGGAAAATGAATCTTGTGCCACTTATGACATTTTTTTCATCTGTGGAACAAATAACATTTTAAGTAATATTTCAGGTAACTAATGATTCCCAGCTCAACTTAGTCATAGAAATTCACTGATTTATTTAAAAGGAATCAAGCTGGTTTAATGCAAAGATCCCTGGCTTTAAAGTCAGGAAATCTGCTTAGCCACTTATTAGCTGTATGGTCTAGGACAGGTCACTTCCTTTTTTTGGGACTCAGTTTCTTCATCTATAATGTGGGTGAATTGAGACCACATAGCCTCTGGGGTTCTTTACAACTTCAAGCCCAATGTTTTTATATGAAGCTGAAGTCAACCTTCCTTTAGTTACTACTCAGGAATTCTAGTTCCATATTCTAGAGCTGAGTAAAACAAGACCACTACTTTTTCCATGACATTTCTTTATACATTTGACGGCATCATCAACTACGCCCATCTCTTCTCTTCTTCACACTAAATACCCCTAGTTCATACAACAGCTCTCCATATGACATGGTCTTGAGTTTCTATATCTTCTTGGTTACCATTCTCAGCACCTAATGCAAGAAGAAGGCATTTGGTGGCACAGTGGGCCTGAAGTTGGGAGGACCAAAGTTTAAATATGGCCTCAGACACTTACTAACAGTGTGACCATGGGCAATTCACTTAATTTCTGGCCTAAGTTCAAATATGGCCTCAGACACTTACTAACAATGTGACCATGGGCAATTCACTTAATTTCTATTTGCTTCAGTTTCCTCTTCAGTAAAATGAGGATAATAGTAATAATACCTACTTATGAGGCTTGTTATGAAGATCAAATGAGATATTATTGGTAAAAAAGAAAAAGTACTTAGTTCAGGGCCTGTGCTTAATTCTTTTTCCTACCCATGTCTATGTCCTTTCTACAATATGGCACCCAGAACTGGAAACAGTACTCAAAATGTGGTCCGATCAGGGGAAACTATAGTTTCTCCATGTCCCATTACTTACTCTATACTCTGAACTATGAATGCAGCCTAGAGTTATCTTGAGTATTTTTAGCTACGACCCCTGTAATGATTATGATTTCTTTCGGGTTTTTTTGTTTTGGTTTTTACTTTTAGTCATAATCTGTTTTTGAAATGTTTCTCATGCTTTAGTTGGCATTTTTAAAACATAAAGGCAATTATTTACAATAGTCAATCAAGCAATCAACAAACAAATATCAAGTGCCTGGTATTTGTCAGGCACCTTGGTGGGTGCTAGAGATAAAAAGGAAAAGAATGAAATAATCCCTACTCAAAAGAAGTTTCATTCTAAGAAGGAAGGAAACCAGTATGTATATAAGTATATACAATATCATGATAAAAAGAATAAGCACAAGCAAGAGTACCAATAGTCGGGGAAATCAGGAAAGGCTTCATGTAGGAGGTGGTGTTAGAACTTCATCTTCAAGGAAGAGAAGGATTCTATGAGGTGGAAGTCAAGAGGTAATGCAATACAGGCATTGGGGATGGCTAGCTCAAAGAACGAAGATAGGAAATGGAGAGTTACATGTGAGTAATAAGAAGAGAGAAAAAAATTGAATGGATTCCAAAGTGTAGGAGTAGAAGTAATGTTCAACAGATCTGGACAGATAGATTGGGCCAGATGGAAAAGGGTGTTAAAGACTAAAAAGAGGAGTTTATATTTTATTTTAGGGGCAATAGGAACCACTGGTTTATTGAGTATGGAAGTGACATGTCATATCTGTGCTTAAGGAAATCACTCAACTCTCTGTTGGAAAGATAGACTGGAGTAGGGAGAGACTTGAGGCAAGGAGGCCAGTTAGGAGGATATTGCAATAATATAAAGGAAAGGTGACATTGGACTGAATGTCTCCCATCCCATGGAGATGATGACTCAATCTCATGGCAGCTGATGAGGTTACTGAGAGAGGGAGTATAAAGAAAGAAAAAGGAAAAAAAAAAGAGAAATTCCAAAATAGGCCTTTTGGGAACACCTAGAATTAGAGGTAATGAAAAGAATGATAAACCAACAGAAGTGATAGAGAGACACTGGCCAGACAGTTAGGAACAGAATCAGGAGAGATGGTATCACCAAACCCCAGAGAGATGTGAGTATCTAGAAGGACAAGGCAGTCAACAGTGTCAAAAAGAGCAGAGATGTGAAAAAGGAGGAGGATGAAGAAAACCTCATGTGATTTGGCAATTTTAAAATCACTGGTAATTTTGGAGAGAGAAGTTTCAGTTGAGTGAAGTTAGGAGCCAGACTGAGTTAAAGAGGAAGAGCAGTGGAGCAAGGAGCAAGGAGCTGATATGGCTCTATTTAGCAGTTTTGCTGTGAAAGAGAGGAGAGGTTGGGTTGATGTTAGGGTCTAATGAAGGTTTTTTTTTTTTTAAGGTTGAAGGAAACTTGAGTACGTTTAAAGGCAATAGTTAAGGAACCATTTGGTAAGGAGAGGATGAAGATTAACAAGATGATAACAAGGGTGACTGCATGAGGTAAGGAATCAAACTGTAAGTAAGGAAACAGCGATAAAATGGGTTTAAATCACGAAGTTGTTTTGAGTAAGGGAAAGGTATAAGCATTTTAATTAAATGCCTACTCTGTACACACTCGAACCTTATAGCAGCTCTGGGAGGTAGGTGCTAGGTGCTATTATTATCTCCCCAGTTCTATAGTTGAGGGAAGATGAACAAAGGCTCAGGGGGACACAGGTAGTAAGTGCCTTGGGTGAGATTTGAATTCAGGTGTTTCTGACTCCCGGCCCAGAACTCAATCCACTGCACTACTTGATTTCTTCATATAAGGGAAAATCTGCCAAAGAAGACAGAAAGAATTGAAATCATGGACTTATGTAGAGGGACTTATCTTTGCAATTAAAAAGGGTACCTCATTATCAGAGACTGGGGAAAAGAAGGCCACTTTTTTTTTCCTTTTCAGGCAATTGGGGTTGAGTGACTTGCCCAGCGTCACACAGCTAGTGAGTGTCAAGTGTTTGGTCTGAGGCCGAATTTGAACTCAGGTCCTCCTGACTTCAGGTCCGGCGCTGTATCCACTGCACCACCTAGTTTACCTAATTTCTTTGAGGCCTCTGGTAGGGCATCAGTTAGGGAAAAGTAAAGAGCTTGCCTTACAGTGACTTCCTTCAGGTCTCTTCAGCAGTGCATGATAAGGAGCAGAGGAGGTAAATGATGGGAGTAATTCAGGGCTAAGTTTTGACAAGGGATAGGCAGTTTTAGGTGAAAAGGTGAAGGGATCTGAGAGCTGCTGAGACCATGGAATTGAATTGGTTAATTATAGGTTTTGAATAGGGAAGAAAAGAAAGTGAAATGAGAGCAGGGCTAATGGCCTAAGACAATACTGAAGGATGGAGGGATTAGAGATCTGGATGAAAACAAATAAAATGTTTAGGAGAGATGATCAGAGGTTATGATTATAGAGGAATGTCAGAATGCTAGATTAAAGAAATGGATACCTATAAGTAAGAGTGAAATCCTGAGTTTGACCATCCTTTACTGTGGCTATGGTGGAGGCAAGGCATAATCCTCATCAGTCTTAAGGAAATTGAGGAATTAGAAGGTTAGAGTTTGAGGGAGTATTAACATAGACATTAAAGTCTTCTAGTATATGGGTAGGAGTGGAAAGGAGCCATTGCTTAACTCCACACTGATTTACAATAGCCGCTATGATTTGACTAGGGAAGAAAATTTTAATCAAGTAAACTTCAAGAGGGAGAGATTGCTGATGGTGCCAAGAGGAGAGTTTGGAAGTAGAATTAGAGAGCAAGAAAGCATTCAAACTCCCCCTCCAGGACCAATGTGTCAGGAGTGTGAATAAAAATGCTGGAGAGGACAACTGACAATGCAGTCTTGTCCTGAGAAGCCAAGTCTCAGAGAAAGCAGGTAAATGATGGAGTTTTTTCATAAAAAACCAAGAATTCTGAGGACACAGGAAAAATTGGAATAGGGTTTGGGTGAGATTGGGGGGGGGTTAAAGATGACGGGGATAAAAGGATTAGAAACAGTGAGTCAAAACTGCAGATGATTTGCTCCTAGGTACACCTGATAATTGAGTAGCAAAAGTAATAGGCAAGTGAATTCTTGGAAGATGGTAGAGTAGGTCAGAAAATTCCAGACTCTCCAAATTTCTTCCACAAAGAGACAGAACATTGCCTCAAAATGAAAGTAGAGTGGCAAAAATAAGCAAAAATTGGGATAAAGTAGTTGCCCTCTTAAAACAACTTGAAGGGACCTCAGGAAAGACATGACCTCCAGGGACTGAGGTTTGATTAAGAGTGAAGCATAAACACCTCCAGGCTGACTTTTGGAGGCTCAGTAGAGGAAGATGTAAAGACCCTCTGCTGTCTCCAGATGCCAGGTCTAGCAGTGCTAACTAGACATGGTCTTGGACTGTGGTTGTGGTTGAGGAGTGAGCTCACACACAGTGAGTGTGGTACTAAAGAGAGAAAGTACTGTTTTGGGGATAGTGTGGCAGGGGCCCTAGCTTTGGCTTAGAGAAGGTGAGAAGTGCTTGAAGTTTAGCCCTAGGACAGAATTCAGAAAATAAAAGTAAGAAGGACCTGGGGCCTGAGGCACTATTACCGAAAAGTCAAGACTAGACTCTGATTACAATAATAAACTGCTAAAGATGAAATAAAACAAAATAAAAATAAGTAAGCAAAGGAGAAAGAACCTAACCATAGTAGCTACTATGGGGTAAGAGAAGATCTGAGTTTTTATACAGAGGAAGATACTGAAGTAAAAGAAGCCACTCCTACCCCAAACAGCAACTTCAAATGTTGACAAGCCCAAAAAGAGCCCTTGGAAGAACTTAGAAAAGGATTTTCAAAAAATCGAATAAGAGAGATGGAGAAAAAATTAGGAAAAAAAGATCAATCCAGGAAAATCAGGAAAATTATGAAAAGAAAGTCAACCAATTGGAAAAAGAGATCTAAAATCTTCAGGAAGAAAATAACTCCTAGAAAACTAGAATTGGGCAAGGGGAAGCTAATGATGTTATTAGACACCAAGAAATGATAAAACAAAATCAAAAGAATGAAAATATGGAAGAGAATGTGCAACATCTCAGTAGAAAAACAACTGATCTAGAGAATAGATCAAAGTGAGACAATATAAGTTATGATAAAAAAATTATAAATTATGAAAGTTAGGATAAAAAATAATCTTGATACAATATTACAAGAAATTGTTAAGGAAAATCTCCCTGAGGTTCTAGAATGAGAGGGTAAAGTAAAAACAGGAAAAAATCTACTGATCACCACCTGAAGGAAATACCAGGATGAAAACTTAACAGAATATCATAGCTAAGTTTCAAAGCTCCCAGGTTAAAAAGAAAATATTACAAGCAATAAGAGAAAAACCAATTTAAATACTGTGGAGCTGTAATCAGGATTACATAAGACCTAGCATCTTCTACACTAAAAGGCTATAGATCTTGGTACATTAAATTTCAAAGAGAAAAAGAGCTGGTGTTGTGACCAAAAATAACTTACCTGGCAAAGTTGAGTGCAATCCAAATTTTTTAAAAAAATGGATGTTTAATGAATTGAAAGACTTTCAAGCATTTGTGACAAAGAGACCAGAACTCAATGAAAAATTTTATATATAAGATCCAAAAGAAATGGAAAACATTAAAGACTAATTATAAGGGACTCAATTAGACCAAACTGTTTACTTCTTATATGTTAAAATGTTATCAGCATTCTTAAGATTGTCATCATTATTTGAGTAACTTGAAAAAAAATTAGAGCTGAGCTGAGTATGATGGGATGATTCTAAAAAACAAAACTGGGTAGAAAAAGGTAAAAAAAAAAAGGAGCAATTATCTCATACAAATGAAGTGTGAAAAGAAGAACCAATACAAAGAAAGCAGGTGGAGGTGGAGAACTGGTGGTTTTGGAATCTTACTCTCATTGGGTCTGGGTTAAAGAGGAAACATAGACATCTAGAAGGGTATAAAAGTCATCTTAACTCATAAATAAGAGGACCAGGGGACTGGATAAGAGAAGGATATATAGAAAGATGTTTATATTAAGATTTAAAAGGGTAAGGGGAGAGAATAAGGGACAGATTCTTAGAGAGTTGGGTAGGAAGGATAAGGAACAAGAAGGTAAGGGAAAAGGATAAAGAAGGGATTCTTTAAAAGGGTGTAGATTAGAGAGGTAGTGGTTAGAACTAAACTAGATGTGTGAGGAGGGATAGGATAAAAAGAGAAGTTGAAAGGGACAATAGTGAGGAAAAATAGGATGGAGGTAAATACTCAAATAGTAATTATAACTTTGAATGTGAATGGCATAAATTTACCCATAAAATGAAAATGGATAGCAAAATGGATTAAAAATCAGAGTCCGACAATATGTTATTTATGTGAAACACATTTAAAAATAAGAGATACACGTAGAGTTAAAATAAAGGGCTGAAGTAGAATTTATTATGCTTCACCTGATGCAGAAAAAGCAGATGTAGTTATCACTATCTCAGCAAAGTTAAAGTTAAAATAGTTTTAATTAAAAGAAATAAACAAGGTAATTCAACTATGTCATGATAAAAAGTTCCATAGGTAATGAAGCAATATCAATACTAAACTTAAATGTACCAAATACTATAGCATCTAAATTTTTAAAAGAAAAGTTAAATGAATTAGAGATAGAAATAGATAGTAGAACTATAATAGTGAGACTTCAATTTTCCCCTCTCAACTAGATAAATCTAATCAAAAAGTAAATAAGAAAGAAGTCAAGAAAATGAATAGAATTTTAGATAAGCTAGATGTGATAGATGTCCAGAGAGAATGAATGGGAAAAGAAAGGAATACACCTTTTTCTCAGTGGTACATGATACTTTTACAAATATTAATCACATATTAGGGCATAAAATTTTTATAATTAAAAGCAGAAAAGCAGAAATAGCAAATTCATCCTTTTCAGACCACAATGCAATAAAAATTATATTTAATAAGAGACCATGGAAACATAGAATAAAAACTAATTGGAGACTAAACAGCTTAATCGTAAAGAATGAACGGGTTAAAGAATAAATCATAGAAATAATCACTTTCATTAGAGAGAAGGATAACAATGAGACATATTTCCAATTCTTTGCCACCACAAAAAGAGCTGCCATATATATTTGTGTACATGTGGGTCCCTTTCCCATTCTTATAATCTCTTTGGCATATAGACCTAGAAGTGCTATTGCTGGGTCAAAGGGCATGCACATTTTTATAGCCTTTTGGACACAGTTCCAAATTGCTCTCCAGAATGGTTGGATCAGTTCACAACTCCACCAACAATGCATTAGTGTTCCAATTTCCCCACATTTTCTCCAGCATTTATCATTTTCTTGTTTTGGCATGTTAGCCAATCTGATAGGTATGATGTGATACCTCAGGGTTTTTTGATTTGCATTTCTCTAATCAATAGTGATTTAGAGCATTTTTTCATATGACTATAGATAGCTTTAATTTCTTCCTCTGAAAACTGCCTGTTCCTATACTTTGACCATTTATCAATTGGGAAATGACTTGTTAAAAAAAAAAAACTTTTGCAGACATTTATGAATGTAAATGCTCAGAAAGCCCATGTGTCTTTGACAAAGCTGTTCCTCTTCAAATCTAATTTCCCTATTATTTCTGAGTTTTTGTTTTTCAGATGCTTCTATCAAAGACAAGAATCTCTGAATAACATGAAATGGGGGAATTTATAAGAAATGGAAACATATTGGTTATGAACAACGAAGTTCAGGGACAAGTGACTATATGGTCTTTGAGAAACAGCAGCAGCAGGAAAGAAGAAAAAGTCTGGCAGTTAATTGGATAAGAGGGCAAGACTATATACTGTCCTTATTGATGCTGCTTTGAAGTTGAAAGTGCTTACCTTCTGAAGAACATGGATTCTATTTTTACTATAATGATTATTGCTATTCCTTCTGTATTTGTTTTTTGTTTTTTATTGTGTTGTTTTTTATGCCCTAAGACTCAAGGAAACACTCATCAAAAGCGCAATTCATCAAGAATTAGTGGTTTCCAGGGAGGAGGTGATTCCTGGGGAGGTGATGTTTATGAAGGAGGCCAGTCTTGGGAAGCAGATGATGCTTTTGGAGGAGATGATTCCTGGGGAGGAGGTGATGCTTGTAAAGGAGATGATGCTTTTGCAATAGAAGCAATGCTTGTGGAGGAGGTGATTCCTTTGGAGGAGGTGATGTTTGTGGAGGAGTTGATTCTTGGGGAGGAGGTGATACTTGTGGAGGAGATTATTAGTGAATAAAAGGGATCCAGGAAGAAGGAGATAATTATTGTGGTTGACTGACTTGTTAACCTCCGTCCACTAGTGGCATTCACTATTACCTGATCACCTTAGGTCCTTGTTTTCCTCTGGAGTGAGTATCTAGTACTAAGTCAAAAAATTCCATGCGAGCAGGAGAAATTAATTTTTACAAAAAGATGGGAGGTTTTGCCCAAGTCAGAATAAAACAGAAGCTCTTAAACTACGGCAGGTTACATGTAAACAAATTGTAAGTCAAAAAGAATTGGAGGAAACTTTGAATGGGACCAAGATGTCAATAATTAATATATTCTTTAAGCAAAGCACAGATAGCAAGCTCTACCTTTATGAAACAACAACAAATAAAAAGATTCACACATCTGGAACACAATGAATTATTTGCCTCAGTTTTTCTGAGGTGATATTGGGGAGATACTGAATTTACTTTTACATTGACTTTCTACTTCTCTATCCAACACTGCATTAAGTGCTGAATCTACAAATCTCTTTCCCAAAATATTTTCTGAAGGAGAGGTCAAAGGGCCTCCAACAGATTGTGAAAAACACATGATATTCTAGACCTAGTTGGCAAAGTAGGTGTAAAGAGAGCCTCAGAATCACCAAATATCTACCCAAGATTTTTGAAGGACTTTGAAGATTTTTTTCCTCTGGGAAATATAATGGTAAATGACAATCATGCTAGTTTCATAAAGAAAAAAATAGTTTCTGAATGAATCCTGGTAACTACAAACTTCATGTAGGTTCAACTAATAGAGCTGATCTTAGGGAGAGCTATGTGAGATCCCTTACTTCTTTCAAAACACAGTTCAGGTGTCACCTCCTCCATGAAGTCTTTCTGATTTTTCCAACTGAGTGAAATCTGTTCCTGCTTAAATTGTATTAGAACAATTAGTAGAGACTCTCTTTTGCCCTTGTTTTATGCACACTTGTATTATGTACAATTCTACCTTGTGTTATGCTTATTTAAATCCCTGTGTCAGTGTTAAACAATGAATTTTTTAACATAATGAAGCACATTTATTCGCGTTGATCTTACAACTATTAACATTTTAGTGAGAACAAAAATGTTTAGTACCACTAATAAATATAATAAAGTCCAATAATTTTTCAATATTTTTCATTCTGAGTTTGTATTTGATTCTTTAAAAATTGTGTTTCTGTATATGTTTATAATGTTCATCATGTATTAGTAGTACACATACATATATAATATACTACACATATAGCTTAAAGTTTTAATACCTAAAATTATACTTGAACTTTTGGGACCCCTTCTATAACATATATAGTGAAATAATAACTAAATATAAATATGTTGGGCAAGCAGGTTTGACAATTTTTTTTAACTGATAGCTTATGCAATAAGCAAAGTTCAGAGACCACTAGCTCAGACAAGGAGGCTAACAAGGAAAATAAATGTCCAGATGTGGATTCATAAAAGAAGAGAAGTTTTCTAGCATCTTTCATACCTTCACATTCAGGCAAAAGTCGTCAACAAACCTTACATAACAATTTAATTTTGTTGTGACTCTGATCATCATACTCACTTGTTTAATGGGGATTAAAGCATCCACCAGCAATTCCCTGGGTCTTATCCAGCAGAAAGCCAGCTTCACAACCATAACATTTGCCTCTAGAGTTAAGACCATAAAAGAAATTTCTTTGCTTAGCACTCTTTTTTGCCCTTATCACAGTCCTTGCCTTCCCCACACCTTGTATTATATGTACATCATGATCCACACCTAATAGGAGATTGTAAGCTCTTTTAGGACAAAAAGACTATCATAGTCCATCTTTGAGACCACCACTATATCTAATAGATGCTTAATTTTATTTTAACTGTTAAGTTTAAACACTTAGCATTTAAGTAAGAAGAACTGAATTAGGTCAAGATATTGTTCAGGTCTATCTGGGAAAGCACATCAACGGGCCTGAAATTTATTGGAAGAAGAAGAGGAGCAATCATAGGGATTTCTTTTTTTTTTTTTACCTGTCACACCAGTAGAAGGACCTGCACTTGGAGAAGAGAGACTAGAAGAGGACATACTGTTTCTCTTTTTCTCTCTTCCTCTTGCCAAGTGATTTCTTTCCCATTCTGGTTGGAAAAGGAAAGGCTAGAAAGAGAAGTAATGAGATTCCTGAGACACTGTTATTTGGTCATGAAAAATATGAGATTATGAGAGGAGACTGATACATCTATCAGCTCAGAAGAAAGGTTTGAGTTATTTCATATTCATGTTTATGTCTCAGTGCTTTGTAGTAGCTTTGTAAGGGATCTGATGAGATTTCAAGTGGAATCGAGAAAAGAACTTTCTCACCATGTGTGGGAATAACACACATGATTAGGTTAAATAGCAATGATTCTGTGATGTATTCAATATCTTTAAGTATAATCCCATTCCTATGAGATTACACACACACACACACACACACACACACACACACACACATACACGTACATACGTAAAGAGCATGTGCTCTTAATCTTTACACAGATTAAGTCCTTGACATGAGTCTGCTGGGCAAGGATTCTTAGGGGCTTCCACATAAAGGGAGACTACAGTATTGTGAGTTCCATTTAGAAAGCCAAAGGCAAAGGGGTTAAATCAAAGAACACTATACAGGGAGACCCAATTCTTCCGTAGACAAGAAATGTGACATTGACAAATAAATTAATCTTTTTGGGTCTTAATTTCTTGACCTGTGAAAATAGAAAAGAGACCAGGTGATCTTTAAAGGTTCTACTGTCTCTGATCCAGTTGTGGAAGTTCAGGGGTGCTGGGACCCTGAAATTCAAGGGCAAGCAATGCAGGTCCTGTCTTGAATGAATTTGACCTAAGCCTTCATTCAGCCAAAAGACAAGGTTTACTAAAACATCTGTTGTGGTGAGCAAGATTTCTAGTGACTCTGAACTATTGGCCAAATTTTAAGAATCTGAACATTTGTGATGCTTATATTGACAAGTGGGCCAGATTTAATATGAGCACTTTAATTGAGGCAAGATGGATCTTTTACACAGAAGACTGTGGGAACAGAGGAGGGGTCTAGAAGCAATTAAAAGTGGAAAGTGGCTATTATATATAACAGACAATGAAGGGCTGGGCTAGGTTAGAAGTAACAGAGAATTGGAGGTTGGGTGTAGGCCACAATGAAAGTCCAGTTGAAAGGATTACTAGGATGGGCCAATGGCTCAGGCAAATGCCAGAGGGTTGGCCATATGGAAAAGTTCAAGTATGTTGGGGGGAGAGGGGGAGAAGAAGTGCTTCCAGGGTCTATACCCCATCACAGTTACCTAAGGGAAGGTTTCTGTCACAGATGAAGCTGCCCCAATAATGTTGTTGACATTCATATTGTGCAGAGAACTCTTGCTCTCAGACTCAGACCTGTAGGTTCACCCACGCGATCTAGAGTGGGAAGCAATCTAAAGTGTCATTTATAATAATGCCATTATTTTCTTTAAAGCCATTTCCCTGACACCAAGAAATAATTTGTATGAATAATGGAGCAATACACAAGCCTGTGACCTGCAAGAAGTTTCTTCATATATATACATATATATATAATTCATGTATCCTAGTCATTCACTCCTTAATTAATTTCTTCAATTTAAAATTAAAAAAAATTTTTTTTTGTTTCCCAATTCTTTCTCTCCCTCTAGCCCCTCCATCACCCATTGAGAAGATAGGGAATATGATATCAATTATATACGTGATATCATACAAAACATATTTCCAAATTAGTTCAGTTGTAAAGATAAAAAAGCAAGGGAAAAATTTCATCAGTGATATCTCTGGTGATGGATAGAATTTTTCATCACTTATCCTTTGGAATTGTCTTGGATCATTGTCTTGATCAGAGTAGCTAAGTCTTTCACAGTTAATCATTATCATAACGTTGTTATTACTCTGTACAGTGTTCTCCTGGGTCTGCTCACTTCACTTTGTTGGGTTTTTTCCAAATCTTAATGGTATTTTATTTTTTACAATTACATGTAAAATAGTTTTCAACATTCATTTTTGTAAAATTTTGAGTTCCAAATTTTTCTCCCTCCCCAAAACAGTAAGTAATCTGATATAAGTTATACATGTACAATCATGTTAAACATATTTCCACATTAGTCATGTTGTGAAAGAAGAATCAGAACAAAAGGAAAAGCCATGAGAAAGAAAAAACAAAAAATGTGAAAATAATATGCTTCAATCTGCATTCAGAAGCCATAGTTCTTTCTGTAGATGTGGTTAGCATTTTCCATCATGAGACTTCTGGCATTGTCTTAGACCCTTGCATTGCTGAGAAGAGCTAAGTCTATCATAGTTAATCATCCCACAATGTTGCTGTTACTGTGTACAATATTCTGGTTCTACTCACTTCACTCAGCATCAGTTCATGTAAGTCTTTCCAGGTATTTCTGAAATCAGCCTGCTTATCATTTTTTATAGCACAACAGTATTCCATTACATTTATATACCTCAACTTGTTCAACCATTCCCCAATTGATGGGCATCCTTTCAATTTTCAATTCTATACCACCACAAAAAGAGCTGCTAAAATATTTTTTGAACATGTGAGTCCTTTCCCCCTTTTTTGGAATACAGACCCAGTACTGCTCATTTCACTTTGTATCAGTTCGTGTAAGTCTTCCCAGGTTTTTCTGAAACCATCCTACTCATTATTTCTTAGAGGACAATGGTATTTCATCAAAATCTCATACTACAACTTGTTCAGCCATTTTTCAGTTGATGGGCATCCCCTCAATTTCCAATTCTTTGTCACTACAAAAAGAGCTAACATAAACATATTGTAATATGGATCCCTTTCCTTTTCCTTTGATGTCTTTTGGATACATAATTAGTAGCGATATTACTGGGCCAAAGCATAAGCATGATTTTATAGCCTTTTGAATATAGTTCCAAATAGTTCTCCATAATGGTTGGATCAGTTCACAATTCCTCCAATGGTGCATCCCATTGGATGTCCCAATTTTTCTACATCTTCTCCAGCACCTGTTCTTTTCCTTTTCTGTCATTTTAGACAATCTGATAGGTGTGAGGTGATATCTGAGAGTTGTTTTAAATTGCATTTTTCTAATCAATACTGACTTAGAATATTTTTAAATGTACCTAGCTTAATGTAACTTATTTGTATGTAATGTAATTAGCTTTTATTTTTATAAATTTGACTCAGTTTGCCTTATATTTGACAAATGAGGCCTTTATCAGAAAAAAATCACTGTAAATTTTTTTTTAAAGATGCCAACTTTGCTTCTAATTTTAGCTGCATTGGTTTTGTTTGTGCAAAACTTTTTCTTATTTTATGCAATTACTTCCTCTGATCCCTTATATCATTTCCTTGGACATAAATATTTTCATTATCCATTGACTGTCAGGTAAAATATTTCATGCTTCATTAATTTGTTTATAATATTACCCTTTAGCTCTATATCAGGTACCCATTTTTACCTTATCTTGGTATATTTTGTGAAAGGTTGGTCTATGCCTTGTTTCTGCCAAACTGCTTTCCAGTTTTCCAAAAATTTTTATCCAATAGTGAGTTTTTTCCCTAAAATCTCAGAGAGTTGATTTGACTAAACACTAGGCTACTATGGCCATTTAGTATTTTATATTATGTACCTAATCTATTCTGCTGATCCACCACTTTATTTCATAGCCAACACCAGATTATTTTAATGATTACCACTCTGTAGCATAGTTTGAAATCTGGTAATTCTGGGATGCCTTCCTTCACATTGTAAAAATTTGATTTCCCAACCCACATATACAAAGATATTTATAGCAGCACTTTTTGTGGTGGCAAAGAAATGGAAATTGATGGGGATGTCCATCAATTGGGAAGTGGCTGAACAAGTTATAGTATATGAATACATTATCATACGGTATATGGTAATGAAATACTATTATGCCATAAGAAATGATGAGCAGGCAGATGTCAGAAAACCTGGAAAGATTTATGTGAACTGATACTGAGTGAAGTGAGCAGAACCAGGAGCATATTGTACACAGTAACAACCACATTGTAACTTTCATAGACTTGGCTCTCCTCAGCAAGGCAAGGATCTAAGACAACTCCAAAAGACTCGTGATGGAAAATGCTGTCCACATC